ATTGGCGTCGGCGATGACGTTTCACGTGTACATTTGCATGAGTCAACCTATGCAAAACTACGATTGATAAGTCAACTACAAAGTGGAGATCTACCTGCACCTGCGTCGGGTGGGAAACGTGATGAGTGAGATCGAACGGCCTAACGACGCGCTTGTCGTCGAGAGATCTCTTGGCACGGAAACACACTGTATTAGTCATTCCCCCAGGATGCCGGGCTTAACCATTGATTTGATACGCACGTATTTCGCAATATTCGTGCCCCTCACCTGCGCACATATCGCGTTTTTACAGAATGGATAATTAGTAATTGAAAACGGCGCTATTGAATTTCCATATACACTTCCATATACGCGCTTAAATTTCAAACAACACACCGCGGAACGATATTTTTCTTCGCGGTTCCACGCGGTTTAACGCGCGTCGAAAAAAATACGCATATACGCCACACGATCATTTACGTCATTAACCTTTAGCTCAGCTGCTTTTACGTCATTAACCTGACGGACTGCACATCTGTTCGAACAAATATTTTATTTCCCCGTCTCCGCCGTCGTCTCCTTTCGCATTAACGAAATGAGACGCGGCGTTTTACACTTCGATAAGTAATCGAAGTATAAATGTTATCCGTGACAACTTATGTTTGTGTTAAAAATACTATAGGCTTTAATAGAGAAGGCGATAATTCGCGAAGTTACGCGGCATCTCGAAAGTGCACAGACTGCACACCTATGTAACTCGGTTGGCGCGACCAGTTAAAGGTTAATGGTGAATTAACATTTCGGTTGTAGATTGCGCGGCGTATACGTGCGAATGTGCACGGGGGAAAAAAAATACCTCTATCTCTGCGTATGAAGCTGTTGCAGTGTCGAGAGAAGATATTACAGAAAGCGTACGGAAGCCTCGAAAATTACCGCCTACACGCGTATTTACACTATCGAGCAAACATCCGTCACTATTTACCGATTCACGGTTGAGCGACCTTCGGCGTCGTTAAAAAATCCGTCGCGCACACGCGCGCGCCTCTGCCTGCGCGGCGGTAGATTCCGCCTATCTATATTACACGCGTAAACAAAATGCCTATACGAATCGTTTGAGGGGATCGTTACTGCGCGCCTCGGGGAAGTTCTATCGGGCCATTAATCGCGGCGCCTCGCGATTAAGAGTTACAGGCGTCGACGAGGCCGGGGCATTAAAACCTCTCCGCGATTCCCGGGGAAATCGGTGCACACGCCCACGATCGACGCTTTTGCACGCGCGCGCGCGCGCGGAACGCGCGTAACGGAATTCGCGATTCGTCGGGTCTCGAAAGATCGTGAGATTTCGCAAAAAGGAGAGAGAAAAAGAAGGAGGGGAGGAAGAGGAAAAAAATCACATAACGCTCTCGCGCGTTCGAAGACAAAAATCCGCGGCCGGATACCCGGTAATAGCAGCCTCCACGCGACGTTACTACGCGGCTACAAAATATCACGCATTTGTCGCAGGAATTCGATCGTAAATCATAGACGTGCTAACGGTCGGCCGGGAGCGATCGTCGAAGCAGCGCCGCGCGTCGTGCCGCAATCGGGAGCGGGGGAGAGGGAGGGGCGGCAGAGGGGAGGGTGACGGAACGGAAGAGGGGAGGGGGAAGGGAAGATACAATAAGAGTCGCGAGGAGAGAGACCGGACGCGCGGCGCGGAGCGGCGTACCGCGCGGATCCGGTTCGTTTTTCCACGGCGCACCGCGGTTTCTGCGAAATGGAGCCGAGCCGTCGGTCACGCCTGAGCTGCCTAACGGAGGTAGAGAGATATTGCGTTAATGCGTTCCACGTGGGGTCACCCCGGTAGCCGGTGCACCGGCGAGTACTACCGTATCCGCTTCGCGCGCGCAATAGAACCGCGCTCGCACGGACGCACGAACGAACGAACGCACGCACGCACGCTCACGCCGCACCGCGCAGCCCGCCGCCGCCGGCCGCAGTGCCTCTCATTACGAATCTCACCGCGCCCACGTAGCGGTATCGCGACTACGTACGCGTATTCCTCCGGCACGCTTCACCGAGCGTAATGGTGGATGTACGTATTACTCGAGAGATAAAAAAGAAATCCCATCCTCCCCTCTGCTCTCTCGCTCTGTCAGAAAATTCCGATGGATGAGTACAAACTTCGGATGTTGTTAGGGATTGGCGAGTATCACTTGTAAATGGGAATTAAGGAGAGGATTAATCTATATGGATCGACGTTATAAGCTTCCCCCAAGCGTTACAAATATCGTATTGTAAACCATCAAAACCGATTAGCCGCGGGCTAATCGTTTACAGAAATAATATCTAATTTAATATTTAATTTATAACAAATAATATTTATACGCATAATAAATTATTACTGTTACGAATATTTCACATTGTTCAAGCAAATAGCGTAAAATAATTGTTGGAACTGATTGTCGGAAAAATTTATATTCTTCAACGGTTTATCCTCTCCGTGTTAAACGGCATTTCTCGCGGCATACTTGCGCTGCAATTTCGCGAGCGTGCAAAAATGGACGCGGCGCGGCGGGATGGCACGTAATTCGAGTCGGCTCCGGCGAGAAAATTGACGTATCGCGCATCGTGTACGGCATCGTGTGACGTCAACGACACGAGAAGCGTTTCCCTCTGTTAACCCACTCGTTAACCCGTCCGCTTATCGACTTTCAATTTTACCGTCTCAAGTCCGTGGCGAGACGTTCCTTGGCCCGGCTTCGTAAATTCACTGCATTTGGCACGGCGACATCGATATTGATAGCGCGACAGTAGATAATATTGCTCTACAAAAAAATCTCTATTTTCGCTATATCGATTTATTTTATATTATCCAATGAATGTGCTGTCGCGTTTCTCATAACAATTTTATAAAATAATTTCCATCGCCAACTGCTACAATCAAATTGCAATTTATAAACCAAACTTCGATTTTAATGTCTGTATTTTTACTTTAATAAAAACTACAAGAAAAGAGATAAACAGTTATTGCATTTGACAAAATCTACCTTTGCTTAAAAAAAGAAACAGAAGATTAAACTATTTATAGATTAGGCTATTTATATTTCCTCAAAGAATTCGGAGACGCATTATTGATCAATTTAGAATAGACAGAGTCCCAAACAAAAAATCGGTTTATCGATTTAAAGAAAAGGTCTTGAAGCGATAATTATCTGCGTTATCAAGTCATTTGTCATTTCTCTATCATTATAGTCATCTTCCGATGGAGAAGATAAACGTTGAAATGTTTGAGAATTCACTGTGCGTTGTCACCTTCCTGAAATTTCTGTCGCGAGGAAGCGCAAAGGCTTTTCCACCGAAGAGGTGGAAGGCGAGAGGCGAAACAGGGTTAAAGGTGGCGGCGGTTGGATTCTCCGGTGACGGAGCCGGCGTTCTACCAACGCGCGCTCGAATTGGGATGCAACGCGTGACGAGAGGTGAAGCTTTTCCCTCCCTCGCCACCGTCATCTATCCCGTGAACGCAAGGGAAAAGAGGGAGCAAGAGAGAGAGGGGGGAGGGGGAGAGGGAGGATCACGCTCATGCGCACCGCGTAAATGGGGCAAGCCACTCGATCGTCCACTTTAGGAACGGGGTCACGAAAATTAAATTTTCTGATTAACGACACACGCGCGCATCGGCGTCCCCATCGGCGTCCGCGCCGACGTGTTTCACGACTCTTCTTTCTTTTTAATAGCTCGCGTATCTTTATCCCACCGTCGCTCGGCGTGCCTCCCGCGTTCACCCGCGATATAAAGCCCCTATATACCGCCGCGCTGTACTATCCGTATACCGGATTCGATCGGTAGAGATGCTGGGCGGCGCTGCCTCCAGATCGGCGCGTCTAAATCGACGTCGATGTCGAAACGCCGTCGTTTCGTCGTCACGTTAGGGGGAATCGCGTGCATGTGTATTACCTGAACGAAATTAGATCACGTTCGGATTCTGACTCGGATCCGTTGACGTCGTCGGACGAGCGTGTAACCGCTCCGCTCCGCTCCGGAGGAGCCGGGGCGTACGCACGATCGTCGATGCGATTTACGAGCGGTTTAGCGTGCGCGCAAGCGCGCACGGCTCGCTCTCTCGACGCGCGATCGTCTCTGTCCTGCGCGTCTGATGCGCGAACGAGAGACGAGAGAGAGAGAGAGAGAGAGTCCCCGGGATATGACGCCATATCTCGTACGCGCCGCGCGCGAGCACGCCCGATATTACGCCTTCGATTCGTTTAATCTTCTTAAGGATCGTTAACCCGCTACGCGCCAAGAATACTCCCAAATAGCGTGGTCTCGACGCGAGATCTGTCGACACCCGGCACCGGGCGTGAGCGACGCGCGCCGCGCAAAGTCGCGAGGCTTTTCCCTTTCGAATTCGCGCTTTCGCGGAGGCGAAACGAAAACGCGAAGTTCCATATTATCCATCACTTTCGGTCTCCCGTCGAAGCTCTCTCGTACACGAGCCACTCGACTCGTATAAGTACTTACGCAGCTTTCGGTTTTTTTTTTTTTTTTTAAGAACGTCGCGTACCTATGTCGCGCAAAGTCCGAAGTTAGCCGAGTGAAGGAGAACACCGAAGGTACTTTTTTATTGAGAAAATTGGCGCGCATGCAATTTCGCTGACTCCCAAGATTTTTCTACAGATAGATTTTAAACTTCAGCAAATATCTTGAGGTCTTTTGAAACTCAATTTATGGCACATCTACGATAACGAACTCGCCCTCGTGGGCACATTTATCGTTCGAATCGATAAATGTGTGTAGATATATATAAAAAAAGACGGTAGCCAGATTGTTGAATATATATATATATGTATGTGTCTAATAAAATTTGCAATTTAGAATTTCAATTTCACCGACGTACAGTTCACCGAGTGGCATCGATAAAGTTTGACCACTTGTCACACGTGTGCGTCCGCGCGGCGATCAGAGGTTTGCGATACACACGCACACGCACGCACACATGCACGCACGCACATACGCACAATGTAACTTGCTGACGGACTCACCTCCTGCCCGTTCGGGGCAATGACCACGTCCACCTCGTCGAGATGCTGGCGATGCTCCGTGACCTCCGCGTGGATCTCCCTACCGTTGTACGTTAGATAAACCTTCTGACCGGGTACCAGCCGCGCGCCAGTGACGGAACCGAAGCCCGGTCCGATGAGATCGCGGTCCGAGTACTCCTTGGGGCTCGGCGGGCTGCCGCCCGTGATGTCGAAGCGCACGGAGTACAGGGTCTTCCCCGTGACGCTCTTCTGGCCCGGCGACTCGGCGGTCTGCGGCGTTTTCACGGCGCAAATGGCGCCGCTGTAGTACTTGCCGTCCTGACCGGGAGCGCACACCCTGGTGCCGATTATGCTGCGCTTCGCCAGCCTCTTGCCCGTCGACATTATTCGCGGCTTCTACCGAGCGACGCGATATCACTCGATTTCGCGCAGATCAGTAGGATCCTTTTGTCCCTCTCGCTTTATCTTTTCTCTCTCTTCCTCTTCGCGGCGGAGGATCACTCGATCGTTCCCGACGATCGTTTTCTCGCGCGGAGTCCCGTTGCGCGAGGCACTCGTTGGACGAGCGACGCGACGCGAAACATTCACGCGACAAACACTCTGTGTTCCTTCACGTGCACCTGTCCACTCTTCTTCTTCTTCTTAATCGCCTTTGGATTTTCGATTCTTGTTGAATCAGAGTACCACGGTTACTTCCGCGGACTTCGAAAGGGGGCCCGACGTCCAGACGCGTGTCTCGGCGTGTTGTTGCAAGTCCAGGCAGTACAGATCCAATGAGAGAGATCTGAGAAAGGGAATCTCCCTGTTCCAAAACTCAATACTGTCCACTCGACTGTCCTGCGACACGTCTCGAGAGTGTTCGAAGAGAACGCTCGTGAACGCACGGCGAACGATTCACACACGCACACACAGACCACAGGAGTCACGCCGGGCGCAGGGAATGCCAGACGCACGCGGAACGCGAACAAGTTCAAAATTCAAAGTGCAAGAATAACGCGCACGTCTGCGAAACTCAATGGTCGCGATGCAACGGTTGACGACACGTATAAGCACGCATGCACGCGAGCACGCACGCACGCCCGCCCGCACGCACGCACTCCCGAAAGGAAGGCGTCGATCCCTTTAACCACGCTGGCCAACGTCGACCACGTCGCCAACGAGCGAATTCCCAAAGAAAGGCTCGCTCTTTTCCTCTCGCTCTCTCGTGGCCCGCTCTATCCCTCTTTTATCCCGCTTTAGGTCATCGTACCGAACAGGCTTTTTTCCGTCACGCACCAATCCACGCCGTCGTGTACCTGCCACCGACGGCGGTGGCAGTGCTTAAAACTCGCGGGGGACGGGGGGGAGGGTACGACGATCCCGCAGGGATCTCGTTTTAAACGCCGAAGGGACGCGGCGGCCTCCGTGGCCTGAACACAGAACTCAGCGTATCAACAAAGCGGCGTGCACCGTCGCCCGCGTTCGTCACGCCGTCCGCATATTCGAGGCACTTCGTGATCGATTCGTGGCGATGCGTTGGCGTGCACACGGCTGACAGCATAATAATACGTGGCTGACGCGCGCCGACGTTAGACGGAGGTCCGGTGCTAGACGGCGTCCTAGCCGGGTCGTTAGACTCGTACGTTTAGTAGCGATCCGCACGGGAGAAGGACTCGCGGCGCCCGACATGTGACGCACAGCTGAGCGACCGGGAGGGACTGAGGACAGACTGCCAAGCGGCTTTCACTGCGCCGGCCGGCCGCCCGCCCGTCCGGGAAAAACAGCTGATAGATAACAACAAAGCCACGTGACCCGGCCTCGAGCGCCGATTGGCCGCTCGCGCTGACCTACTTACTCCGATTGGCCCGCCGCCCGGACAACGAGACGAACGGGAAAAAATCGCAGGCTTAGAAGCCTAGGCAAAGAGCGCCTGCTCGACCAGACGCTCCACTCCACCACGCTCTTCCGCCCCCCCCTTCCTCGCGCTCTCACTCTCTCTCTCTCTCACTCCCGGCGCAATTTCCCCTCGCCGAGTTCCCCCTCCCTCTGTCCCGCCGACCCCTCCGCCAACGCCGACGGGCGTGCGCCGTGCGTACTCGGCGCTCGCCGCCGACGCCGCCGCTCGGCGTTCCCGGTGTTTCTGGCGAAGCGACGCCGACTCGACGATCTCGCACGAATACCCCCCATTGCCGAGATGCGCTCTCACGATCGCTTTCTTTTCTACGAGCCAGTTCGTTCGGACGAATGAACGACAGGGTGGACGGCTCTTTTAATCTTGATCCTTAGTCATGGCGGCGATCAGCTGTTGCCGACGCTACGCACGCCCGGACGGTTGTTTTTCGCCGTCAGCTGAGAAGCCCCGGTGACGAAACCGACGCGAGCGGCCGAGCGCCGTTGCGCGGGGCAAAGTCCTCGCTCCGCGAGACTCTCCTGCCGCCCGCCCGCCCCCCACTCTCTCCGCCCCCCTCCCCCTCCCCCCGGCGATACCATACTGCGTCGTGTTCCTCGCGAAATACGTCATATTTCGGCGAAAGTTCGCTACGGGGTACCATCTGCACGCGCATCAGGCGCCGAGACGATCTCGGCTGAGCTCCGCGTCGCGTTTTCGCAGAGAACAACCGGGCTTTCCGCTTCAGCTGTCAGTGTTGCTCGGCCATTTTGCGTCAGCTGAGTCGCCCGGTGACGACACAGTGGCGAGTGGAGGGTCTGCGCGTGCCGAGAGGACGCCGGCGTCTCCGATCCACCGAGCGGAGTGTGTTGCCTCTGCCAGCGGTAGACATTTGCAAAAGCTCGCCTCGAAGCGCACAACGACGGAGTGACAAAAAGATACACGGGACATATTCTCGTCCGTCATGCATAATACCGTCCTACTCTCGTCGTTCGTAAAGGGAGCGAGGCGCCTTACGTGTCGGCGCCTCGCGTCGAACCGACCTCGCGACGTCGCCGACGTCGGCGGTGCCGTCGGTGCCGAGTATATGTATACCTATACATGTACAAAATTGCAGGCCGGCAGTATCTGGCTGGCGGCGCATGCGGTGAAGGAAGCGGAGGAGAACGCGCGTCAGCTGAGGGCGCCAGCGGATGATACGCGGAAGAGTGGATGGTCTACGAGAGCTGGGGCCGGAGATGAGACGACGCTCTGTTCCGTTCCCGGCGCGTCCGACGCGTAGTAAAACGCGCTTGTTTTTTCCTCGACATCGATGCCCGCGGACGGACGTTCGTCCGTCGAGCGTGACGCGGGGGTTCCGATTCGTTAATCGTCCCGGCTCGATCCGAGATCTCTTCCTCTCCCCCCTCCTCCCCCCCCCCTGGATCGATCGGTTCGGGCCGGCGTCGATTCGCGAAGGTGCGGGATCCGCCGCTTTGCCGGACGCGATCTCGTCATGGCGGCGCGCGGAGGACGCGACGCGCGATGAAAATGGCCGGAAGATGTTGCGAGGGGGACGGTCGGACGTATGGGGAGAGGGGAAGAGATGGCAGGGGGGGGGGGACGGAGAAGGCGGACCGGCGAAATAGAAGGCAACGGTCCACGGCGTTCCCAGCAGCCTATCCTAGATTTATTTCCGTGGACGTTGCGCAATATATGCGCGCCTCGTTGACCAACTCGGTAATCGCTGACCCTCATTATAAGTACGGAGGAAGGATAATGAACGGTCATACCGTGCCGTGCGCCGAAATCCCCGACTCCTATTGTCCCGTTCGTTAACTCGCCGCGAGAGATATATATCCGTTATCTCGATATCTCGAGACTCTTTGGCAAACAGTTAATTTAGGTCTGTCGTCGCGCCACTGCGACGAACGTCCGGAACGTCAGAAATTCCCAGGAAGCGAGATGTTTGTCAGCGGATTCGAGTAGAACATTCCGACAGATTGGCATCAACTGCGTTTGCATTAAGCCCGAGTTCCGCCAACAAAAACCGAATAGAATCTGCCACTTCGTGGCCATTCGGATGATGCATTCCATTTAAATGATTACGAAATGGCAAACTCTGCGCTCCGTTTCTTCACTCGATCTGTTATCGTTTTTCGCTAGCAAATTCTATTATATTGCTGTTGGTATTCTGCTGAAAAAAAAAAAATTATTACAGTCACTTTGTAAAATCTCTTTTCGAATGATTTAATTATATTACATTCACATTTATGTATAAGGTGTATTTGCATAACATAAAAAAAAGAGAGAGAAAGAGATTTATCTATACAAACATGATTTCTAAATTTCTTTGAATTTGTTAATAGTAGATAACATAAATAAGTATATATATTTCGTTGTATATTTATACTTGTAAAAAACCCGAGATAAGATTATTAGCTTCGAAAATAGATCTATCGTTGCCGATAATATTTTGGTATCACAAGAACAGACTGTCGAAAGGGCCACAACGAAGCGCTAATTTGTTTCATAAAATTTCTTAGACCGTATTGAGCTAACTTGAATGTACAATTTCATTATCATTACAATTAATTACGAATAAATAAAACTGACTACAGAAGTGCATTCAGAATCAGTTTTCCAATCATCGTTGAAATTGTAATCTCGATGCAGTTTGAATAGCAATGCCTAACAAACAAACCGCGAAAAGCTGTTGTAGAAAGTACAAAGTCAACACATAATTTGAAAAATAATTTAATTAAAAATTAAGTTTTTCTCTCCGCGGTTTTTTTTTATTTTTTTTTTTTAAAGACGAGGTTTACTCGCGATACGTGGAGAAGCAAGAGCGGGATCATCAACGTAACTTCAACGTAACGCAAACGTTTCTCATCCTGTGTGTGCCAAAAGTTGGATGCGTATACGTAACGTCGGCGCGCACTTTACCGCACCGGGAAACTTGGGGAAAGTTCGCACTGCTATTCCGCTAAAGCCGGGCGAATGTTTTTCTCGGCGGAGAACCGCGCGCCGGGGCCTTATCGCGGTCGTTCCTTTCGGTTTGCGGTGGAGGCACTTTTTTCCTCGAAACGTCCCGTTTTACGATCGGACACGCCATTGTTCGCGCTCGGCGAGCATACTTCGCCGTTCCTGGTCAAAATTCGCGAACATAAGGATACCCTCTAATTTTCTCCCCGAAGAGGACACTGAATTGTAGATATAGACGATTCGTAGATAGACAATTCGAAATTTCTACAGAGGAATGACAAAAGTCTGCGATGAAAGTCTGCAACGAACGCGTCCGCGATCGCGTTTCGAATAAGTATAATTTTTGATCGCTGCTGCAGGTAAAAAGAGTGACGGTCACGTATAAATATCGCTCTCAAAATTCCGCACTCAACCTTTCGGCCCCGACACTTAGTTTCGCCTTTCCCGATGGAGTTTGATAAGATTTCTCCCTTCTTCCTTGGTATCTCTCGGTATAGCTCGGTATATACCTCTCGCGCCGCGGATTCCTGGAAAGCGTGCGATATGTTAACAGCGGGATAACACAATTGCGGTATGACGCGTCGCAATGTACGCGCTTCGTCATCCGCATACACGCTTGGCGCATACATACGGCTACGATAAGATTACGTCCAGTACACGACAGTTTCGTGCCCAGTTAAGACGATCCGACATTCGGAAACGCGAAAACGGTGAGGGAGCGATAATGACGGACGTCGAGACCGTCGAATTCGGCTGCTCTGCATCATGACGCGCGAGGCTGTCGGGACCTGGCTCGTCGCCCTCGTCCTCGACGCGGTCGCGCTCGTCGGTGTCTCGGGATGGTGCCCGTCGTTGTGCGTATGCGGTACCTGGTACGATTTGCAGCACGCCTCGTGCACCGGACGCCATCTTTATAGCATTCACACAGGTGCGCCGAGCGTAGTGCAAGCCCTGGACCTGTCGAATAACTCGATATCCATTTTAAATAATTACGAACTGGCTGTAAGTATATCGTGCAAGAAGCGTACGTGCGTTAACAAAAGACTCGACCAAGTTCGGGCCTCTATTGAGAAAATACAAATATATTCGACAAAATTTACCGTTCTCTATATTTTGTACACCTGAAACTAATTTACTCATCTCCGACAAATTAAATTTATATATTCTTGAATCTAATTGTTGCTAAAAAAAATGTTTCGTTGAAAAAATTCTCTTTCATTGTTATTCTTATTAATACTCTTTGGTACTTTTGAGCCTTTTGTCAAAATGTTTCCGAACCTCCGGTTTGGGAGAAAGTTCTAGCTACCTGAGATTTTAGCTGACCATACACTTGGCTTTGACCATCTAGATTATCTGAGGAATTCATCAGTCCGGATGTCATAAAAGTTTCAAAGCGATAAAGAAGAATATTTCTTATTCTTAGCATTGCTTTTAGTAAAAACTGAAAGTACTGTGACAATAAAAATAAATGAATGTATTTTATATTTTAACATAAATTCAAGTGTTGATATAAATATTTATAGTTTTCTCTGTACAGGATGACAATCGGGAAGCTGATGGTGAAATAGTCGTCATTTTGTAATGAAACTGGACAGAATGGAATGAATTAACCAATACTTTGCACAAAATATTTATAATATTTATAGTTGTTAGCATGCAGAAAAAAAAATATTTTGTATACCTGTAAAAAAGCCGAAAATTCGGCCCAATTCACGGCACAGTAATATATGTATAGTTGACGACGTTAATATGAATAATAATTTCCGTAAAAGGAATTTGCCTGGAATTATTTGAAGATATATAATAATATTATTATTAATATAAAATGATTAATACTAAATTATATATTATAATAGTTACTATAATTAGTAATTATTAATACTGAAAAGTGTCTATTAAATATAAGTTTTCAAAAGCGATTTGATTTATTATACAAATTCAGACGGTCATTATTTCATATCACTAAACCAGCTGTATAACCATACAGCGAATTGTTAGGCCTTTTTTTAAAATTATATTTATTAATTTCATGTGCATGTATTTTTTTATGCTATATGCTAACAAGAATGATAAATTTTTTGTATATTAGTATAGCATTTAGTTCATTCTATCTACTCATTGCAAAACATTCATTTAATTTCTCGCAATTTTTCGATTGTCATTTCGTATACACAGCTAAAATTTCAAATAGATTAATTCTGGAATATATTAATCCTATATAGGATACGCTCTCTCATATATTGCAATATTTCTGTTTATTTTTAGGAGGCAGGGCTGACGAGGCTTAAATATCTCAATCTGTCTATAAATGCAATTGGCGAAATTGGTTTAAACGCTTTTAGTGGATTATCCGAATTGACGGTTTTGGATCTATCCCGAAATCACCTTTACTATCTCTTGGCGGATGTCTTCATGCCAGCGACGAGTTTGCGAATTCTACGATTGTCAAAAAATAATTTCAATTCTCATGTACCGAAATTGGAATGCCCCTGGCTCACGGTAATAACAAAAATATATTAATTAAGAATCGCTATCAATATTACATTTACAATCGATATTTACATTGCACATTGCATCCATAATATTAATGTAAATAACGGCTTAACGTTTTGCAGAAATATTTACTATGAAAACATTACTTTGATGTTAATACTCACGAAAATAAAATTGTATTTACTTTGATTGAAGCCCATTTCATTAGTTTAATTATAGCGATTTATAAATAATTCAATCGTATAGAAAGATGGCACTTTCGTTTAATTTAAAAATTATTTTACTTAGGAATTGGCTCTGGACTCGTGTCGAATTAGCCATGTACCGGTGGACATGTTCATTGGACTCTCGCACCTTCGTACCCTTGATCTTTCAAATAACTTGATGATTCAGTTGGACACCGTCGCTCTGGAATCATTACAATTTTTAAGAAGATTATCTATAGAGGGGTAAGACGATGATCGAGAAATTTGACACACAACTTAAAATTATAATTGTTAAATAATTCCTTTTAATCTTACATAAATCTGTAATTATAGACATAATTTCAAGACTGTTTATCAGCTAAGTAATATAATTCAATACGCAATATGTTTAATCTGTTTATACGCGATGTACACTTATCTATGAAATAAAAAATGAATCATAAAAACAGTTTACTCATATCTGCTTTCTAAAAATTAGATTTATAATAATTTGATAAATGAAAGCGTTCTCAGATCCTCGCCGCCGTATCGCGAAGTCATGCTGCGATCGGAACTTTGTCGTAACATATCGGCATTACAACAAATTTTAATAATAATGTTTTCTAATTTTTTTTTCAGAAATCCCTGGTCCTGTGATAAGCTTACGCATGACTTGCAGACGTATTTGACCCGCAGAAGTATACAATATCATGCAGTATGCGAAAAAAGTGCGGAGCCGAAGAAGTTTGAAAAAATGATTCTCTACAATCCACGAATTAAGTATGAGAAGCGTCGACCGATAATAACCTCGAACTCGATCATCAAGAGAAACACGACAAAGTATCCTACAACATCAATACCGGCACATGAAAAAAATACAGTTGCTCGTGTCAACGCGAGAGACGTGACGAACTTTGCGAAAGCATTGAACTCCATGTCGCCGTACTGGTTCCTCGCGATCGGATTTCTGCTCGGTATCGCGTGCGGCATGCTTAGTTGTTACGTTTGGCTCACAAGGAAGATATCTTGTTGTCGCGGATGCCGCCGACAAACCGATAACGACGCTCAAAGAGTTTCGCTGCTGCAGAATCTGTGGCAATTTGAGGATTCTGCCCCAAATGATAACGCGATATCTTGCCCTGATACTCCACCGCCGCCGTATCGCGAAGTCATGCTGCGACCGGGACTTTATCGTAACATATCGGCATTACAACAAATTTAAATAATAACGTTGCCATAAATAATACGAGATACATATAAGGTTCCAAAGGTAAGGGTAATTACTATTGTTGTTATACGATTGACTCGTCGCTTTGAAAGTTAGTGCACGGATAAGCATGCTGCATATGTTGATAAGACCGCAAAGAGATATTAATGTTTTGCGAAAAGTATGATAGACAGTGTGATATTGACTTTATTTTATAAATTATGGATTTATAATAAAACTACTTTGCACAGAGAAAACTCTGATGTAGATTATTTTACCAAAATTAAGTAAATCGTTTTAAAAACTAAGAAGCAAGAAATTGTAATAAATATTTTAATAATAATTAAGTCAAACTGGACCACTATGTGAATAATAAGTAGATAAGTGTCAAATACAATCGAAACTGAGACTTGATAATATTTCTTTGAAATTTTAAATACATTTTCCAGTTATATAAACTGTGAGCCGAGTATTATTAGACTTCAATACAATCATAAATTAAAACGGGAATAGAATAGAATACCTATTTATTCCAGATTATACAAGCTAAAAAAAGAACTTACATTTTTTTTATCCGCACATATACATCCATCTTTTCTACTTTTTTTTAGCACTTAAGTTCAAATCTTATAACTAACATATGTCACCGTAATTAAAGCTGAAATAGTAACATCACAAATTATACTGATCATTAATTTAATAATGACGCTAATAAGCATTTTCAAACTGCAAAGAATTCGCTGGCTAGGGTGATAGTTTTCACAATAAATTCTTTACAATTTTAAGATGCTTATTAGCATCATTATTTGACGATCAATTTAACTTGTATTACTATTTCAGTTTATTATAATTGCGTTTCAAGTTTCACACTAAGATCCAGCAGGCAATTTATAGAACTAGACAATGTATTCAAAATTTACATAAAAATATTATTAAGATCCAGCTTTAATCGCATTTTTCTTATAAGTATTTAAACGATTAATTTAAATTAATATTTAAGTAATATAAAGTAATTTAAACGATAGTACGCATTAATAATCAAAAGACGAAAGACACATGCCCTAATAGATGGTGCCATCTTTTTAACACGATTTTTGAACATATGTAAATGTCAAGATTTATTTCAATATACAATTTTATTTAAGTAATGTACAGATTTAATTTATAAAATATTATATATATATATACTATATATATATATTACAAATCAAAATTTTTTTCGTTACAATGTCAAAAAGAAATAATTCGGATTACTTTTAATAGTACATGCATAAATCAATAAATAGTTAATGAAAGGACTCCAATTATAGAAAACCTAGTTTAGTTTATAATAGTTAATGCAAAAACAATAGAAAATTAAAATATGATACATATTATCTCGATAATATCAATGATGAAAAATTAGGCAAGATGTGCATTTTATATTATCACATTCTTAATCAATGTTTAGATAATAGTGGTAGATATGCTATTGAATAACATATTCTTTTTATTTTTTGCGCGTTGTATATTGTTATATATGTAAAAAATATTATAGGCACGTAATGTGTTATATCTGTACATATATAATACAACATATTTTTAACACTAATTATTCTCATTTGAACACAATAACGTTAGGAGCAGAATTGTGGTTGCTCGAGACTTCGGATCATTGCAGCGTAGCCTCGTCAAGCCTCATATTATTTTCATCTACGTTTTGAAACGTATTTACGGTGACGGTCTTACCGCCGATCGCGGCGATTATGTTTTCCGTTACTTCATGATCGTATTTCGTGCCGCGAATGTTACTAATCACGCTCGCGTCTTGGGTGAAGTCGGTCGACACTAATCCAGCGGGCAAACTCATTCTGATCTCCTCTACCATACCGTTCTGCACCTCCAAGCTCAAATTCAGACGATACAATTTACCATCGTGAGCGGGAAAGTCGAGCGTGCGGGTAACCGTAAATTTCGGGGTCTTGCCGAAATTCCAATCCCAAGAACGGAACTCGCTGGCGAAGTTATCAATTCCTGCGTAACACCAATTTACGAAAACATCTTAAATCCGTTATCGAACGTTTGTACACGAATTTCGTACACTTGGTAATTTCCATTCGATAACAAAGATAGGTATAAAATTGTTCAAATCTTAATCGTATCTTCTAACATATTTTTCAAATAATACGAGCTGCTTTCCGTACGTACCAGGGAACCAGGCTTCCGTTGGATTGATAAACTTGAATCCCTTCTGTTGTTCCACCAGATCGTATTTTCCGTCTTCGAGAACGAGGGCTTTCGTACGCAGATATTCCCAGCCAATAGCGGATAAGAGCTTATCCGTTTGAATATTACGGTTTATATCGAACAAGTTTTTTATTGGAGAGCGTACAGAAGTCGTCGCATTTGTGACGATACCATTCTAAAAGTGTATTCACTCATTATATCCCTTTTTCTTTTTCTTTCATACATAAATCACTGAAGCTATCTTGAACAAACAGTAGCACAATATTGATACTCGATATATTGCAGCGCTATGGAAATGTGTTACGATACAAATACACATATTTTATGAGAAGATACACGCGTGTGTATATATCAGCAATGTGGAGAAAAAATCTTACCTCTTTCCTCTCAAGAATCGAACTCAGATTGGCTTTGTTCACGTTGACCAAGAGCGTGCAATGATGATAAGCATTCGGTTTTCCCAACTTCGCAGCTGTTCCAGATATCTAATGGCATTGTAATTAAAAAATATATTATATACCTTGGAAATATTAAAAATCTGTCTGCAGTTTTAAAAAAGTCTCGAAGCAAAATACAATTTCGCAATTGATCGCTATAAAATCTATTTTTTTTACTACACGCTCGTTACATCATTCGTGTCGAAATGTTCCTCGCGTCAATTACATAACATATCGATCG